TTCTTTCTGGTGTTCAAATTATTATGAATACGTTTTTAAAGCTGGAGAATTTAAATAGCTTGATTATTAACTCTTCTCTCCTAGTCTGTAGCAACCTGTGTTGTGACCTAAATTGATAGAATAGATGCATTAATTGCTGTCTCTTTTCTAGTCTTTCTAATACTTATTGATATTATTTCTAACTTTCTGAACCTTTTAATTTCTGGCAATGTCTCTTTTTTACCATGCTGCTCTATGGATTATAAAGATGGGGATATTAGCAAAGTATATCCATCCCTTTTCAGTTATTCAGTGCACAACCACAACACCTCAAATGAATTAGATTGCTGTAGCACTTACAGACAGCACTTAGCTGTTCCAAGTGATTCAAGAAGGGCAGTCAGCTACAAGAATGGCTGGCAAATGACTCGTCAAAATGCAGAAGTCTGGAGCAGCACAGAAGAAACTGCTTCTCCCAAGAGAAAATCTCGCAGCTGTGACGATCTGTTAACAGATGACCATGATAGCTTTCCTGATGCACAGGCCAAGTCTGAAAGCATGGGCTCTCTTTTATGTGAGGAGGACTCCAAAGATGTTTGCTCAATGAACTGGGCCTCCCCGTATGTTCCTGAGGGCCGTGGTAATAGTAGGTCGAGAGTTCGTCACAGATCTGCACATGATGCTCCAGGTTTCCTAAAAATGTATAAAAAAATGCACCGCATCAATCGCAAGGACTTGATGAATTCTGAGGTGATTTGTTCAGTGAAGTCCAGAATATTACAGTATGAAAAAGAACAGCACAAAGGTATTCTTCAAGGCTGGAGAGAGTCTTCTACTGAAGAGGTGCCTAGAGATATGGTGCCAACTAGGATATCTGAATTTGAAAAATTAATTCAGAAGTCAAAATCAATGCCGAATCTAGGTGATGAAATGTTGTCAGCTGTTACGCTGGAGCCTCCTAAAAATGGCTTATGTCCAAAACGGCGATTTTCTATAGAATCCCTGCTGGAGGAAGAAAATCAAGATAGGCATCCCTCTCAGGTACAACGGAACTGCAAGTCTAAAACTCTGGTGCCAATTCATATTGAAGTGACCAGTGATGAGCCACAGCGATCGCATATGGATTTTTCAGACAGTGATCAAGATGGAGTGGTTTCTGACCTCAGCGACTTTATCCAGATAGAGGGTTCATCCTTTTGTAGTGAAAGTGACTTTGACCACTTCTCCTTCACCTCATCTGAAAGCTTCTATGGATCGGGCCATCACCACCACCACCACCACCACCACCACCGGCATCTCATTAGCTCCTGCAAAGGGCGATGCCCGGCCTCCTACACCCGCTTCACCACCATGCTGAAACATGAAAGGGCTAAACAAGAAACCACTGAAGATCCAAGGAGACAGGAAGCAGAATCTGGCCTCTCTAAGATAGCATTCCTAGTCAGTCCAGTGCCTTTCCGGAGGAAAAAAAGTGCAGCTCCTAAAAAACAAACTGAAAAGACTAAATGTAAGTCATCTGTATTTGAAGCACTAGATTCTGCGCTTAAAGACATCTGTGACCAAATTAAAGCTGAAAAAAGAAGGGGAAGTTTGCCTGACAACAGTATATTACACAGACTTATTACTGAGCTGCTTCCAGACATTCCAGAAAGGAATTCATCTCTTACAGCTCTGAAAAAAAGCCCCATGCACCAGCCTTTTCACCCTCTGCCTCAAGATGGTGCTACTCATTGCCCACTGTACCAGAACGATTGTGGAAGATTCCCTCTTAGTGCCTCTTTTCAAGACGTGGACGCAACTAACAACAACCACCAAGACAATGATAGTGCACTGTGTTTCCAAGGTGGATTAACTTTCTTCCTCTGTCTTTGTGATTGACTTATCCAACTTTACTCCCTTCATTTTCCACCCCGTCTCATTTCATTTTTATTATTTGTGTGTTCTATAATAAGCATTCTTCCCACAAAATCCTTAATGAAGAAAGGATGTCATTTTTACATCTGTGATTAAGGTAGATAAATTTGCTGTCTATTCACAAAATGTAGTAATCTGGACAGAAAAACGGTGTGTTCCAAGTAATACACAGATTATTAGTACTGTAAATTAAAATGGTGACGTCAAATGAAGCAAGGAGCCTTGTTTGCTATAGCTGGCTCTTAAAAGATAAGTTTGGGGGTTTTTTTCCAAGAAAAGGACCTTCCAGAAAGTGAATGAATGCATCATACATAAGATGCTGGTCAAACAGGAAAACAATATGCAGGAAGCCTTTAGTAAAAATCTGCATCAAAAAGGTGTTGTACTGTATACTATTGTCATATGCAACTGATCAAAATGCTCTTAATTCTGACAGCTGCGTTAACATTTGATTCAGTTTTCTCACAGAAATAGGCTAACTCAGCTGCGCTTATAACTTTTTGTGAATAGACCCAAGTTATGTGAGGAAGGTTCCATTTCCACTGCTCAAACAATACAGTTTCCAATTTCTGTGGCAGCAAAACTACTTCTCATAGGATTTTAATACATCTATGAAGTTCTGATAAATATTTTATCCTTTTGAAAGGGAAGTCCTCAATAATCAGATCTTGTAGGATACTGTCAAGGTGAGTATAACTTTTAGAAAAAAGTCTGTTTTGACAGTGATCTGGTTTTAAGGTTACTACTTTGAAGCGTTCACTGCTCTTGCTTTTTCTCAAGAAAAAAAAATTACTTGAGTTTAAACTGTCTTTAAAGTTAACCTTGAAGTCTTAGATGCAAACTAGTGTCACAGCATGTGTGCACAGAGGTACCTACTAGGTGATTCAAATAGGTGAATGTATTTTGGAAGTCTGTCATTTATTTATTCTTTAAAATTGTAAGACCTCTGTGTTAAAGAATTCTGCTTTCAGACATACAGTTGTCTATAACAGAGCATCTTTGAGGAATTCAGTGACGTTACAAAGCTATTCTTGAGGTCACAATTGGATGTAAGAAAGAAAGTGTATCTTTATTATATCAATTTTGTAATATAATAATCCCATCTAATTTATCTTTAATCTCACATCTTTTTCTGTAATTTTTGCCAATGCCATATCAGGAAATATGTATTTCAAGAAAAATCAGAATTGAAACGGTCACCATTTTTTCTTAACTAGTTAAACAAAATATACATAGTGATAACAGATAATTTAGTAAAAACTATAAAACTCGATTCAAAATGGAATTAGACTTGAGGCATGATCATGATTAGCTCTTATAGGCAGTACTACGTGACGGAATCGAATTTGTTGGGAATCCTCTGTGTATACAGGGACATGACTGAGCAAAATTTATCATTTTCATACCTCTTCTTTTTTTTTTCAATCGGAAATCGTTACAGTGAATTTGCAATTGCTTGGGAAGATACATACCAGTACAGGTTAGGACTGCAGTAGCACGTGCTGTTAGGCATACTGCTCCTTTCTTTTCTGGCTCTCACACGTGCATGCAAAGGTAGGGGAACCAGGGACAGTTAAGTATCAGCTCCTAGTGAAAATTTCCTGCGGTCTCTGTGTATAATCCAACACCAAAAAATGCGCTGGTCAAGTATCACAGTTGCTTAAAGCAAATCAACTTTCAGTACTTGAAAATAAGGAAACCAGAGTTCAGAGTAAGCTTGGTTTCCTGGTAGCTTATGTGACAACGAAGGACCCTGGTATGAGGGAAGTGATGTATTTTGTCTACATTTATATGCCTAAAGTAGTGTATAGAGTCAGTATATCAGAATATTCCACTGACTTCTATCAGCACCAGTCATGGCAGAGCTCTCCTAATGAAGGTCTCTATTTTGCTGGATCTGCTGTGCTTATCTGACAGACACAAGCTGCTGCACAAACCCCAGCGTCGTATCAACAGAAGCACTGAATGCATCTAACAAACATTGATGGCATAAGGAGCTGTAGAGAAATTAAAGGAAACTATGTTCTTCCTGAAGCTACTTTTCACTCTTTTCCCTCCTACATCTTTCTGCTGGCATTTGAAATTAAAAATCAATAGATGCAATGTTTGGAGGCATTATCTCTCTGTGCAGTTAGCGTAGACTGTTGTTCAAAAACACATGCCTTACCAAGAAAGCTGTCCAGAATTGGGCCTGGACACCCTTGCTGAGGTTGACGTGCTTGTGACAAACAGTGTATATAACCTAATTATCTCATTTTTCCTCCACTGTATTTATCCGTAAGTCCTTGTGGCTTGGCAAACAGTCCACTAGTAAGCATTTAAATCTTATTTTTCTATAAGATCCCAGCATAATGGATTAGATGCTTTCAGTTCTGTTTTTCCACTTGTACTTCTGTAGAAGTCTATAGCCTTGGTAAAAACAGATTATGTGAATGAAGTCCAAGGAAGGCAAACATCAGACAGATGCCTCCACTAGCAGGTATCACTGTGGCACTAGGAGAATATAACAGTGAGTAAATCTCAGGACTAAAGAGGTGGTTCATTTCATCCTCTGGTCTGAAATAATTCCTTTTATAATTTCATTTCACATTGGCAACTTGCAGGGCTAGAGAGATTGAAAGATTTTGATTATTTTTATTAAATGTATTCACCATCCTATAATATACTGTCCTGTAACAAACTTTGATGAACTGTGCTTTAGAGAAAATCTGCCACATAGATTGGTGAGTAATGATTTATACTCCATCTCAAAATAGAGTTGTTTTTTTATGTGCTGCTTAACATAGGAGGAAAAATATATATATTCATTATTTTCTCATTAAAGCATGCTTTAATCATGTTTCGTGCATGAAATTATCTGTTTATATTAGTGGCATTCAGGAAAAGTTTCTTGTAACCTGACAAAGTCTCAGTACTGCTGTCACGTCCTCCATTTATAAAGTCCAGTAGGCATGGGTTCTTTAGTACAATAAGGCATAATTTTGCCCTCCTGGTCCCGTATTATACATTCCTCTGCTGTGGGTCAGAGGAAGGCCTTTGCTTGAGAGTCAGTATCTTTTTTTTTTTTTTCTTTCCATTAAAGGTGCACTTTAGCCACCATGTCAACTGCTTTTCTTTCTACTAAAGGTGAAATAATAGATTCCAGGTTTCTTCATTTCTTTATATTTTTGTAGATACCATTAAGTAAAACCAAGCAGTATCACAGATCTGAACTGTTTTTGCTTAATTTACCAGAGATTCATATAATGATGTTCTATTTCAGTAGACCAGGAATCTCCTGGAAGCTATTCTTCTGCTTTCACTGATGTGGGACGATGTATTCCAAGGGAGAGAAGAGGAACTACAGACAGAGAGGTAGTTAAACAAGAATAAATAATGCAGCAACTTCCATATGGAAAACCAGTAACATTTCCAAGACAAAGCTTGCTCTGGTTATAAAACACTGTAATGCTGCAGACCAAAGGAACATTTACACATAATCATGTCATTAGATGGGACAACATCCTTCTTTTTTCGTTAGGAGATGGATACCTAGAAAAAGTAAAAGAAAATCAAGCTTTGTAAGATACACTGCATTTTCTACTGATGTTTAAATGGATGAGGACACTAATTAACTTAGTCACTGACGGGCTCTATCAGAGCTGAATGAAGGGGGCATTTGGGACAGAGAAGAATAGCAGGTGTGACTGGGAAAAATCCCTTGCGAAAACGAAAGAATACACAAGTAGCTGCCTCAGGAGTTTCAGAACTGACACAAAAAATATTCGTATTTCACAATTACTTATGTTTTAAAAAACAAAAACACTGTTATCCTCAGAGTGATCTGTAATTTCTATAACAATTTTGGTGCTTGTAATTATATACTGATTGCTTATATTAATGATTTGGAGGAGGAAATGACAGCAGGCATACAACGTCTAATATAAATAATAAAAACAACAGAAAATAACACAGAATATCACCATAAGCAAAAAATGTGCTATATCATTCAGTCTCTTAAGAATATTTCTAAACCTGGAACTCGAAACACTCTCCAAACAGGTTTCAGGGATTGTTTTCAATAATAAAGTAATTACGTTTATATTAACTAACATCTGTAAACCATAAATTGCTAAGATTTTCCATTGATTTTGATAAGAATATTATAGAAAATAATGGTGAATTTATAGAGCACCTTATTTTAATTGATCTTGTAATCTAACATCTGAGAAAAAGCAAGTGAATACTGTATAAGCAGCAAACTCTCTTTGTATCTAATAATTCATAGACTGGACTAAGCTTTTGCTTTGGGCCATTTATCTTGTTAAATGGTGGTATAGGTTAGAACTGGTTGCAGGATCTGAATTCAGATCTGCTCACACCTCAATGTCGCAGTTTTATTGTTGCAATTGGATTAAGAGTCTGATTTCAAAAAAAGATTACACAGTGGAAAATACTGATTAAAAAACTTTCAGGAGCAATTATGTGTTCCTTTTAAGGAATTATGTAGCATCAAAAGTCATATTTCAGTTTGAAAATACATATAATACTTAAGCTGAAAGCAATTCTCAAGATTGCTGTAATTGTAAAAGATGAGAGAAGAAACACTTTTCTCTACTTTCAATACATTTTGTACATTTCAAGTATTTTGTGTTTACTAAGCTTTACTATTCTTTTTATGTTACCCCCTTTTTCCCGTTCTTTGGCTTAGTAGTTACAGCACCAGCAGCAAAACTGAAAAAAGGCAAACAAAATCGGGAAAGAGTGAAGAAGCATAGGACTTATCTACAGCTGATGATAGGAATATCTCCCTCCTGTCCAGAAGACCATTTTTAGCATCAAATTTAAGAGCATTTTTGTGTTCCCTATTATTCTCTTACCTGAAGGAGACCTGTAACAGAAAACTCTTATCAGTATCAAAAAATGCAAGTTGACAGGATCCCTTAAATAACTTTTGGTACGCTTTATTGTTGCAAATACAGTGTTATAGGTATGCTAAATTTGCTAGCCTTTAGATGACAAGAAGGAAGGGAACTCTGTGGAGAAAATCTGTCCTGGCAGAAAGCTAAAACAAAACTTCAGCTCTCCAGTCTTATTCCTCTTAAAAAAGATGTGCACCCTTATATCATTACAAATAGTTTCTCACAGAAATAGTTTAAACAGCTCATTCTAATCACTAGCATATCCTAAAGGCAAATTTTAGAATCTGTAGCAATCTCTAATCCTCACAAGTACTTGCAGAGAAAGACAAAACTTCACTTCAACAGATAGCCTCACATGATACTGCTCATGAGTTCTTACACCTTCCTCTGAAATAGCCAGTGCTAATTATCTGACAGAGGCAGAAATTAAATAAGGGAGACTCCTGGGTCAGATCACATTCATGTTCAGCACAGCTAAGAAAACAACAAAACTACAGCTCTGCAGTATTGCAGATCTGCTCTCAACCACACAGGTGAGGGGTAGGGATGTTCTACAGTTTTATTTTTTGAACAAATGCTGATCTTACAGATACTTGGTGGTAGCACTTGAAAAACAGATGGAAGGAATTACACAAAGTGATTGCCTGTGATAGTGATAGCAAGAGAGCTGCTTTGATGACTCAGGAGATCTCTTCCAGTCTTGTGTTTCTCAGACTTTCTAAAAACTGTGAATGTGATTTCAGAAATCTAAAGCTTTCCCAGGCTCTTCCAGCTATCATACTAATTTTTCCTTTTTTATAATAATGTGATGCATTATTTGCAGTCAAAATTAGTGTAAGGATAACAAATTAAGCTTAACAGAAAAGCATCCGAAAACAAAAGAGAATACTAAGCAAATGAATTTCCATTGTTCCTAGAGATCTAGTTGCTTACAAGTCACATGGGCATTTACTAAACTTTTTTTCTTGTTTTTACTTTGCAGTTCTCTTAAACATAAAGCTCAAAATTGCAAAGGGATCTGTATTAAAATATTAGCTCTATTTTTAAAACACTAAGTCCCAAACACCTAACAACTTCAAAAAAGGAAGCTGCATATTTCACTGCCTAAATATAGCCTTACTACGAGAACTGTTGTAAGGCATGCACCCCCCCCCCTTTTTTTTTAATCTTGGTCACCTTTTTAAAAGCTGAAACATTATGTTTACCATATAGTAACACTATGTGAATGTATTTTGCCTGCTTTTCAGAAACTGCCAGCTAGAGCTGTATATGACTTTAAAGCTCAGACTTCTAAGTAAGTACTAAACTTTTGTTCGTTTAAGAATTCATAATTCAAGAATGATCTTTCTAGCACTTGCCTCAGCTAGCTGCTGTTCTAGCTGATTTCAACAGCAAATGTCATGGAAGCAGAAGACACTGCTTGCTGTCACAGTAGCCTCTGCATTACCAAACAGTGTGACAGTGTGAGATGATATTTCGTAATTAAATTTATTAAATGATTATATTAATTGCATTTGTGTAAGCACAGGAATGGCTGTGCAACTCCAGCTTTCTAGATCATGGGTCCTGAGTGTCACCTGTAGAACGCTCTTTGTTCAGGGTGAATAGTATTCAAGTTACACAAGGTACAGTGCTTAATGTGCTGTTGTAGATAGCGTGCTGCTTCGCTTATCAAAATTCAGTGTAGTGCTTCAGCATCTTCCCATCTGTCTGTTGTAACATACACAGGCTCCCTGCAGAATGTGTCATGCCCCCATACCAAGGCAATCCACAGTGGTCCGTAAGAAAAAAAAAAAAATAGGGAAACCACTGTGCTAGGATATGAGGGAGTCAAAGGAGAGAGCCTGTACTCACTTTTGTTGTTCCTGATGACTCAGGGCATTTAACAGATTTTTAGATAAGATCAAACATTGTCACTAGAATTACATTAGCCGTATGTGATACAAAACTGACAACGTGAATTATCACAGCAGCTGATTAGCTCTTGGAAAATCAAATGGATGATACAGTGAGAAGACACTGGCCAAGATTTGAAAAATGTTCTTAATCATGATCTAAATCATTCCCTTTTTTGGTATCCAAATACAAGCTCTGAATCTCAAAAATGGTGAGAACATAATCCTGTATTCCTCATGCTTCTGAATAGTTCAGAGTGCAATGGAAAAGGTGTAGAGCAGAAGCACTCCAAACTGTGCTGCTGCAAAAAAAGGTAGTAATAGGCCATGGAGACATGGGACATACTTCAGTAGTGTTCCCTACTATATCATAAAGAACACCAAATATCCCTCAGATGCCTGACACGAAAGTGGCACCTGAACAAGAGAGCCAGAAGACATCATGTTTGCTTACAGACCCATAGTGCTCTGATAATAACTAGTAAAATTTACTTGAAAGACCAGTGTAAATCAGGCCTCCGTAACTCAGAGAGAGTACCTGGGACTCATAATGTGAATCATTTCATTTTATATGGTGTAATCAACTGGTGAATGTACCGCAGCTATGGCACTTTTTCTCCAGATGTTTAGTTGCTACAGTCCGTTTCAGATTTGAACTGTAAAGACCTCAGAAACTACACAGGCAGAGGAGTTCAAATATGAAGCTGTAAACATCTGATTTAAATAAATCTGTTACAGAGAGCTGTCCTTTAAGAAAGGAGATACTGTCTATATCCTCAGGAAAATTGATCAAAACTGGTATGAGGGTGAGCACCATGGAAGAGTTGGAATATTCCCAATTTCCTATGTTGAGGTTTGTTCTCTGTTTTAATTCCTTGTATTAGTTTGGGTAGTAGGTCCACAAACTACATGAGAATGATGACAATCTGTTCTTTTCTCCTAGAAACTTTCTCCCCCAGAAAAAGCACAACCTGCCAGGCCACCTCCCCCTGCACAGATTGGAGAGATTGGAGAAGCTGTTGCCAAATACAATTTTAGTGCAGACACGAACGTGGAGTTATCACTCAGAAAGGTACTGTTTAGAACTATCTTTATCAAAATTCCATTATGGTATCTACTGCTACATAGAATTAATTTATAGTAAATACTGTGCTTTGGTGCGCTACACCTTCAAAATATGCTATGCACAAAACACTATAATGGTGGGAAGCTATTAACCTAACAACTCATTGGCTTGCTTTCTTCCATAGCTCTCTGCAAATATGCTGTGCATGTAAATTTAGACTGCCACAGATTGACACATGCAAAGATCTGTTACCTGACTGCTCAGTTTTCTTGTTTTCATTTCAATTATCCATTCCTTTTTTTCTAATAATCATTTTTACTGTCGTAATTATCATGATTAGGTTTTTAATACAGAAAACATAGGCTTAGAGGCATTTTGGGGTGTATCAGTTCTTTCAAATATTTCATCATCGTAACAGTTTGCTTTTTATAACATTCTTGCATCTTGTCTGTGCATGTCAGCAGTAACATATTGTTGCACATGAGAGAAATGTTTAATTTCTGAGGCTTGTCGGCCACTAGGATATTACTGCTTTATAGAGCTTTATTGTTACAGGTTCAGTGTATTTAATTATAATTATGGGGGGGGGGGTTAATGAATAAAAGAGTTGGTCGAAGTTATGATTTGTTTTTCTCTTGAAATAAGACCAAGGATACAGCTTATTGATGCTGAACTTGAGCCTGGTCAAGCACTCATTGAAGTCTGTGTGTTTTTCCCTTCATAAGAGATTGGCAAACCCCAAAGAGGTCCAAAAAAAGATCAGGAATTGGTATTTAAAGGATTTGAGAATAGTTTGAGATTTGGGGTGTTGTTAATATTCCTATTTATGCTTATTATAGTGGTCAGTCTTGGCAGCCCAGGGGGTTTTTTTGGTTTTTTTTTAAGGTAACATGCACTAGTTTCCTTTTCTTCCGTCCCACTAAAGATGATTTTAGGGCACTCAACAAATCAACTACTGAAACAAAATTACATAATTCCAAGAGAACATAAAACTAATAGTCAAGAATTTGTTACAAAAAGACACATGATAAAATGCATTTCATATAAAACAAAAGAATTTCACTACAGAGAAAAGTTTGAATAAAAAGTTGATATTTTACATTTCAGTTCCTAGGCACTCTAAAAACAGTGAGCGAGCCGCTGCCCACCTACTTCTCTGCACGGATACATGATAGTCAAGCATGATCACTAGGAAAAGCACTTCTTTTCTCTCAGCAGTCCCAAGGAAATCACTTTGAACTCTCCACCTCCATTTCTTCTAAGATTACTGATAACAAATTATTTATTGATAACAAAGCACTTGCATGGATTTCACAGCTTATTTTTAACTTTTTTTTGTTTGTTTTAAGAAAAATTGACATTTAAATTCATACAGCAGTTACTATTAGATATTGCAATTAGGGTGTTAGCTAGTAGTTTGGGCAACAATGAAAGCAGGTTGCGCTCTGAATAAATGTTTAAATGTTAATCCCCCGTTCAAGATCAGAATACTACATGATACCTTCTTCTCAGAGAAGACTAGCACTTGCTATTCCATGATTAGCCTTCTTTTGTTGGAATGATACTTCTGTGCATGGTTATAATAAATGGGAGGAAGAATATGAAAATGGAGAAGATTCTCAAAACTAATGGGAAATAGCACTGCAGGGAAAATAATACTATGTGTTAAGATAGTGTTATTCAAAAAATAAACTTTGACTCATCTTCTGATAACTTATTTTCATAATGTATTTCAGGGAGACAGAGTAATTCTTCTTAAGCGAGTCGATCAAAACTGGTATGAAGGTAGAATACCAGGAACCAACAGACAAGGCATCTTCCCTGTGTCCTATGTAGAAGTCATCAAAAAGAATGCATCAAAAAGCACTGATGACTACCCTGATCCTCCAGTACCCCAAAGCTATTCTAGTGATAGAATACACCATTTAAGTTCAACTAAGGTAAGCAAATTGTTTTTTTTTAATTTTGCTATCACCCCTACAGTGGGTTAAGAAGGACTCGTAATTTTTTTTTGTTAAAATGATAATATATAATTTATGGATTGTTTTAAGTGCGCTGTACTTACTTTCTTGAATAGGTAGAATTGCTTTGCTAACTTGTCATTTAAGTATTTTAATAGCACAACGTCTGTCTTGCATTCTGCCAGGATTCTTCTCTTTTTTTCATTAACTGTTACATTGTTAAGAGTAGGGCCAAGCAAAATTTGCGCAGAAAAATCAAGGCTACACAACAAAATTTATTTAGCAGTCTTGGGCAGAATTTGAGCACCGAGGGTATGTCCAGCAGACTTTTCATCGTCCAGTGTGAAAGTGTTCTCATAACACGCATTCTAAAAACTTATAGTCCCATAAGCACGCAAAGGGCAAGGGCAGGTAGCCTGCAGAGGGACACAGCTTGCCAAGACTAGATCTACGCCTTTCCAATGTAAAGGAAAACAGCTAATGATTCTGTATTGTAGCTTACCTCTCTTTTGCCATTCACACACTAGAAGGAGATTGTTGGTGTAACGTAGGTTCTCTGGATTGATGCGACAGCAGTGACCGCATTGTATCATGCGGTAGTAAGGCAGACATCATCACGTTGTCAACAAGTTTGGATTCAGACCTTTACAGTTACAATTTTTCACACAGAATATCTGGCAGTTTCCGAATTCTTTTTTCTTCCTGGTCTATATAGCCACCACAAATCATGTTCACGTAATACTACCGAGAGGATTGCTGGATTATGATGTATTCATTCATCAGATTTCATGATCATCTATGCAGGAAAAATAACTGCTTTGTCAGTGACAGACACTAAGAAGATTTTTGTATGCAAACTGTGATTAGCGTTCATGCATTACGAGCTGATGCTTTTGAATACTACAGAGGAGGAAACTTTCCAAATCTTCCCCTTTCTTTTGTTGTTCCTCTCTCCAGCATGGGCAGTGTTTTTTGTGTGTAGCATGGAAACTTTTTATCCTGCTGTTAATCTATATTTGTTTCAGGGTGGTTTTGCCCCATTTTCTACTTTTGTGTACTTGCATACTGGCGCTAATTTAGATGCTTCAAGTGTGAAATAAGTTCCACATCTTATTTGCTGTTTTGGGGACTGCTACCGAAAGATGTCCTTTATGGACAACAGTGGCCTTTGAAAATACTGCTTATGAATAAACAATATTAGCTGTTTTATGATCATTGCTAGAACAGGTCTTTTCTGTCTTTCCTGAATATGTCTGAATATATTCCTGAATATATGGGGTACTAGCTCCTTATTTTTCCACCCCAACAAAGTTGTTGAAATGAAGTAGCACCAAGATTGGTATCCCCATAATGAGGTATCCATGAGCTACGGCCCTCTATCATTGTTAGAAAAACCTAGAGGTTCCTAAAGACAATTCACAATATGAGGCAACTTAGGTGCTCTGTGTTATAGAGATGTCTCTGTATTTGGAGATTCCTTATTTCCCCCTTTTTATAGAATAGGCTTGTCTCTTAGGCTTCCTGCAGCTAAAGTTGTTTTTTTTGTGCCTGACCCCTATAACCTTGTTGAGCATAGATGTAGTTTCAAAGCATTTATATTCAAGTGAAAAGCACAAGCATGTTAATATTACCCTGTCATTCCTTAATTTTATAAATTATTTATATTTTCCTGTAACAGTTGAAAATTCCAAACCTTGAATGTAAAAGAGTAAAATTGGGAGGAACATGAAGACCCCCCAAAGATGTATATTGAGCGCTCTCCAGAGTTTTCATTAGATAAGTCATCACTGTTTAGAATAAAAAATAATCATAAAATCAGCAGATGCACCTGAAGTGCAAAGCCCTTGGTTTGTAGAAGCTGTGAGAACTGCAGAGTGGTTTAGTGGCTGATCTTTTTCTAAGACTGCTGTCATCAAGCAACCTGAGTGTGCAGTTGCAGGACCCTTAGATATGCAGCATGTTCTTCCTTGTATGCTCCACAAGCATTTGATATAGGAGGTAGGAGTGACCAGGTTTGACCTAGTCTTTGGGGCTAGGAAGAGATAACTTACTTTTTCATACTGTGTTGCCACCATCACAGCAGGAGTTACTGGGCTACTTTTTCCCCAACACTGGGTATTTTTTAAATGGTAATACAGTCACCTCAGGTTACTTAGCAGCAGCAGCAGGACACTTTTGTAAGGGAGGAAAAAGCCCTCTTTGTGACATAGGAAGCTTGTGCAGTCATGTGGTTCTAGCGTAAGTCAAAAAAAGACTCCACTGAGGTTCCTGAACAGACTCCTTGTTTTCTAATTCAGCTGTGTTCAGAAATGGCAACACCATGTAAGATGACATCTTGTTCCTGACTAGCTAGGAGGGCTTTAGCAGTTCTGAAAGTGTTCTGGAGTTTACCACAATTACTTGGTACCGCTTCTTCCTGTTTTTTTGGAGGGAGGGAGGGTTAGCGTGTAATCTGTTGTATCACTTCCTGCTGCTAGAGCAATACTGCTAAACTTCACTGATCTAATGGCAATGCAAATAAAATAGCAATTTGTGTCAAGAGCAAGCTTTGCTCTCCTGAATGTGGACCAGAAGATCTATGAGTTCAGCTCTTGTGCAGCTTGTAGCCATGGGAAATTAAAAACGGGAACATCTCCTGCCTAATGTTATGACGTAGTAACAACAGGTTATAGGCCATTGATCAAGAGGAAAGATGAAGGGAAAGATTTTTTTTGAAGTGAAAGAGACTGAGTATTGCTTGGAACAGGCTAGCTCTGCTTTACCATACTGCACTGTATCAGGCTGTAGACTGTATATTTTGGTAAGATGATTTCTATACCAAAGGTTTATCTAACTTTAAAATAAAGCTATCTGCCTCTAGAATAAACTCCAGTAGAAGGTAAGTAATCTAATCTTCTTCCCATTGTGTAATGTTAATTTAGCTTTCTGAAGTTATTTTCCCATTCTGGAGTAATACTTAGTCTAAAGTAGTGCAGATAACCTAGAGAGATGTGCATCTAATTATTATGAATAATTTTCACGATAAGATCAAAATATTTTTCATTCAATTTTAATTTTGAAGATTAATAGTTACAAAATGCAATTTCAGTATTTACTGAAGCAATGGATATCTACTGATGCTGTGTACGTATGACTCACCAGTCTTTCATTCTTACAAAAGGACATTTCTTTTACCAGAAGGATACTTCAATCAATATTATGTAGTGGTATTCAAAATATACTGCTGTACACTGTGCTGTTGCTATTTTAAAAGCATTGTTGGCTGCCTACATTCAGTTGGAATTGAATGTACCTTTCACAAATGTTGATGTCATTTTGAACTAATACAGTTACTTTTAAAGAAAAATGCATTCTGTAGCTCCTCATGCCTTAATAAAAGTATGCAATGTATTTAAGATGTTTCTTAAACATGTACTCAGATGTACTCAGAAAAAGTACAGACATTAACAGTAGGATAATGAGAAGTCACTCCAGTCGTTAGTTTTAAAAAAAACACTTAATGACACTCACAGTGTACTTCTGACAATATTGATTATTCTCAAAATAATAGTAATGGTTTGGGGGAAATTATATTAATTGTATGATTTAATAACTTTCGACAAGCTTACTATCAGAGAGCCATAAATAACATAATTTCAGCAGATCAAGTACAGATTGCCGTCATGAATGTAATGATTCAGGTCTGTCTTGATGTTTGACATTTAAGCCCCATGCCAGAACCTGATCCAGTTTCACTTTTTAAATATCTTTTCTGCTGTTCTGATTCATGTGCTAATGATTTCAGACACTCATGCTCACTGAAATGATACCCTACAATCCAAACAGCAGATATATTTCTTTTCCAGTCTGCTTGTATCTTAGTCCTCTGTCATACTTCTTTCTTTAAATTCCTATGTCTTTCTTATTTTTGAAGTTGCCTTCCCAAGCACTGTCCCTGCTTCCCAGATACCGTTCCTCCTCTTGGTTACACGCTGATCAAAAGCTCCTGCAGGCTGCTGCTAGTGACTGGTTTTCACAGACTGTTGGTTTTTCACCTTCAAGCATGTGCACCTTACCTCCTCCACCATTTCCAGACAGTTTTCTTTGTGATGTAGAAGAACTCAGCTCTTTGGCCTTAACAGCATCCCGATCTGCAGCAGTTCCCCTAAGTAATTTCATTCACCAAATTAAGGATGATCGTTTTATTCCAAATACAAAGGTCCCTCTCAGCTCTCCTATAGCTCTTGCTCAGCTCTTTCTTTTATCTACCTCTGTCTCATCTTCAGCCAGCTCATCTCATGACACAGCACATAACCATACAAACAACAATACCAAACCAAGAAAAGATGAAGACTTCCAAGGGATACTTGGCTCTTCAGTTATCAAAGTAACTAGAGACTTGTCAGATACTACAAGAGAACGTGAACGTGTTGGCACCATTTCTGATATGTATGTTCCACATAAAAGTGGCTCCATCCCTACAGTACTAGTTGGAACTGCTGAACATGAAGTGGAAACTGGTACAGGAAATCTGTCAATTAACATAGGGGATCAGTCAAAGCCTAAAGGATCAGATTTCTACAGAAGAGCACAAGACGCAACAGAAAAATTGCCAAGTCTCTATATAGAGGAGGATCTGAGACATGACAATTTAGATTTTCCAAAAGCAAGTAGAGGAGACACCATGGTATATTGTGAAGGATGCACTTCAGCAAATATGGATAAGGTATTTTAATTTCTGGAAAACAAGGCTTCTCTCTTCACATAGCTTACTCTCAGTATAATTATTCTGCGCTTTTTTTATATTTACATGTTTGTGTTACGCACAGTTACAGCTTTGTACTATTGAATTGGATAAAAATTGTCAGTGTTAGGTACAGCCTCTTCTCAAATTTCCATCTTTCAGGAAGGAGAGGTATGCACCACTGTAAGTTCTGTCATGTCCTGATTCTGCTGATCCCTCTCCTTCTGTCCCCGTTAGCCGCTATCAAAGCTCTGATGCCAAGAGCCAGGGAACCATTTTCCTTGCTGGCCTGTTATGTGCCACCCCTTCAGAGCATGAGGCCCCAGCAAGCAAATCCTGTTAGCCCTCTTCAGAGGGAGAGAGAGAGAGATGTCTCCTGCAGAGACTCAGTGGTTTACACCTCACGTGTGTCACTTCACCAGCTGATATATAGAGTCTGTTATGAGAATGCTTCTATTAATAACAGATTAGATTTTGGTGGCAGTTAAAGAAATGCTTCCCCCTGAAGCCCTCCCCAGTTCTTCTTTCAGACAGCACAACACTGAACTATCCCAAATGTGTGCTGGCTGTTAAATGCCACTGTATTGCTACACAGTATGTGCGGTTTCTAGGCAAAGTTTTAGAACAGATTTTTTTCTGTCTAGCGCTTATTTCAACAGTCTGCCTGTTCAGGCAGTTAATTTGGCTGGCGCATGCAAATATGTAAATCAAATAGTTAGAATAATAGGTTTCCAGGCAGAACACAAAACTAGTTAACTAGGCCTCCCGCTGACTTTATTTGACTGGAAAAGCACAAAATCAGCATATTGTCTGAAGACATGGACCAGCGAGAAACCAAAAAGAAAACTATTTAAAAATAGAAATCCAGTGCCGTTAACATCAACCTCTTGATTTCTGAGGGTGGGATTTTCTCCCAGAACAGTCGACTGACTAATAATAAAAGTAGTATCACATTTCTGACTCCTCAGGTTCGTTGCATGAATCCTCACTATGCGTTTTATGTCCTTCACAGCAGCTTTACAACACAATTACTTCTCGTTTTTCTTAAATGTTTTAAGCCAGCCCTATTTTCTAGAGAGACATCAGGAAAGTCTGATCCTCCTTTCCAGCTTTCTTCTAATCATCCATTTCACTCTGCCAAGGCACCAGCTTCTCACTCTCTTCCTACAACGACCCTGTCTACTGCTTCCCCCTCACCTCCTCTCCTTTTTAAACTCTTGTACCGACAGGAGAAAGACTCACCAAAGTTAAAGGTAACCTCTTGAATATGGTTTGCTGCAAGTCTTCACATATGTTTAATAACTGCAAGGCTAACACTGAGTTTGATCTTTTCAGATGTATTGTCTCTGTTACTAATATTAAATAACATGAGCACATGGAATACTGTGATAGGCCTTCTTCAAATGAAAAACAAGGTAAAACTATATCCAATATATACAATGAAATAAGGAGATACCACTAATACGACAGGCCTTCAACTCAATTCTAAGTCCATACCAGGACTTCATAACTCTGGCTTAATTCAAGGAAACAATCTTATTCAAGCACATGAAACTAAGCAACATTTGTACTTTAAAAGCGTTTTCAGTTTCAAGATAACGCTTAAGAGAACAGTCATACGTTTCTCAGTAAAGCACTGTACAGCAGTGGGTAACATTCTAAGCACCAATCCTTTTAGCTAAAGACTGAACAAAGATTCTTCCTGCTTCACAGCTACAGTTCACGTCAGCGTCGCAACTCCGTGCCAGAAAAATGAAATCTGGAAAGAGCCTATCAGTTTCTAGGTAGACAAAGACAATTCCCAGTGCAGTTTGGAAAACTCAGTTTCCACTTCCAGAGGGTCAATTTTTTTGTGAAAAGGAGAAAAAGTCCTGTAAAAGGTTTGAAAGACTATCCTAGCAAAAGTAATCATTTAATTTGTAGCAAAAAATACAAACTTGTTGAAAAACCTACCGCATCGGACTCTGTGTGTTCATGGAAAACGCACACGTAGTGGGTTTTAAGAAGCCTTAAGGTCCACCATTTTTGTTGCTTTTTTCTTGAGGGAAGAGGCATGAAGGTTCCTGCCATGGTATGAATTTATCATGGGCTTAGGAATGTTTTACCACAAAAAAGGGGTAAAACAAACTATTGCATCTGTTTCTGAAAGTTTGAGTAATTCAGTAACTGTACAGTGCTTTTTGATGGGTGCTTTTTACTTAGTCTAACCAATAAAATTCAGAAAATTCCTCAACTAGCAAAAAAGCACTGAAATCAGTATAGAGTTACCTATTTGAAAATTGTTGAAATTAGAAATTATTAGAGACTGACAACTGACTTGTTCCACAAAATCTCCATAATGAGAGGAAGATTTATTTCCCCTCAAAGGTGAGCAAACACTACTGCTTTTGGTAGTCAAAACTGACTACACTGTTAGGATGGGGAGTTGTAGTAAAATGACTGTAACATCTTTTTGGCTGTCATCATTTCTTGCTGCTTAGTCTACAAACTGGATTCCAGAAGGAAGAACTGTTCCTAACCAACCCCTTCTGCTTGTGCATGTTGTCCACTAACTACTGTACCACAAAGTCGTGATTAAAATCTCATCACAACTGTTAGACCAGAAAGAACACAAGAGACGTTTCCAAGGCTCAAATACTACAAGTGAGGGAAAGTTGTTCAGAGAGCTCTTAAAAGTAAACTGTATACTGATACCTTGGTAATTTTTGTTACTGTTTAAAAAAAAGTGTGTGTGTGTGTGTATATATATATAATTTTTTTTTGAACTATACATACACATATATAATACATATGTGTGTACATACATATATACATATGTATAGTTGGAAATGACTCAAATCTAAAGCACGCCCCAGGGTTCTGGAAAGCAGAATACAAGGAGCTAGCAGTGGGAAGTCGCACCACCCTCTGTGATGGTAGGAGGGATGTGCGATTTTTCCTGCCTCTTTGCCCCCTCCCTTGGTTTCCCTTTCTTTTGTTATTCACCCTCCCAGCTCCTAAAAGGGGCTTGTTCTTCTCCCTTGGCACGTTCTAGTGGCAATCAGTCACAAAATTTAAAGAGGAGGTTCCCAATCTCAGCACTCCACTTCCCTCTCATTCTTCCCACCCCTGCCCCCAAGAATTCACATTTGCCTCTTATCTCCTTAAGTGCTGATTTTTGTCAAATGTTTAGCTGATTTACAGTGGTGCTAACAAAAATGGAATTTTTCTTTCCATCGAGTACTTAAATTTGCATTTATAAGGTAAGTAAGGTGTGTTTGTCTTTTTAACAGACAAGAGCTACTTTTGTCGTTGGTATTTTAAAGACACCTGTGGACTTTCTGCTGTTTGCTGTTGCGCTTTCTTTCTTTATTATTAACTGGGTCACTTCAGTGGGTACATTTGCAGTGACAGTTCTTATATAGCAAATGCATTCTGTGTGAATAATCTTTTAACTGTAGTGTGTAAGTGTATGCACCAGATTAGCAAATCCTTGGAAAAAAGATATAGTTGCAACAATGAAAATACCATATTCTAATAGCACCATTCATTATTTGCACCTGTAACGCACTTGCCTTTCGTTATCAAGGAAAGCATGTCCGATTTGCACATATGAATGAAGCAGCAAAAATCCCATGGTGCTTCATTCTGAAGCTCTCGATTGACATAGTTTTTATGATTTCTCTAGGCTGATTTAAAGAGAGAGATATTTGTTATGGGTAAACCTCCTCGTAGTCCTGTGATGACTAAGAGATCCCGCAGCTCACCTGTCAGAGGTCACAGCTATTCACACAGGGTATGGTACTGTATGCCCAGTGTGCAATAATAGCATTTCCATATAAAAGCAGCTCAGTGTCTAGTCTTTCAGTATTCTGCTTTTGCCCAAGTGTCTGAATACTATCAATATACCATGTTTTGCTCCTGTTGTGCTTCCGTGCTATGTCTAAGTAAAGCGAACAGCTCTTCGTGCGCCAAAACTTATGTTATGATTCCGTAAGTTTATTGCGTCTCTGCAGTATTGCATAGTATTTCCAGTGCTAGAAAAACATACGAGGTCCAAATTCTTTATGTGATTTAGCCTTTTTTTTTTCCTAAACAGATCCTCTTGTTTCAAAGTGTTTCTCGTTTATTAAAACTACATTTTCCAATAGTCAAAAATTTATAATTCATTGCATGTACAAAGGCTTTTGTGATGCTATGTTCTTGTTTTTTAATGCATGTCCTTCTTTTCAAAATATTTTGTTGCTATGGTAATGTGTTGCATTGACTTGATACTGCCCTTTTTCTCCAGGCACTGCTATTCCAGACTGTCATGTTCCTCAGCCTTTCCCTTCATAGCAGTCTGAAACTGTAACAATTTTAGGTAGCCTGAAGGTCAGATTATACTTAAGAGTTTGTATGTGTTTGGCTCAAAAATCTGATTTAAATTATGAAAAAAACTATATGAGAGTAAGAGTTTATGCATTACGTTATACTTTCACTTTAGGGCTAAATTAGTTTCTGCATCTGTTTCTTAACGTTTGCCTCTTAAAACTGATAACAGAATGAACTGTTTTCCATGTAGTCACTGCTGATTTTAGGGTATCATCTTACTGTTGGTTCCCTTTTTAAAATGCTTATTTTCCTAACTTTCAAAGTCCTGTGATTTTTTTGGCAAGCTTCTGTTTGCTACCAGCTATGAGAGGGCACTGTTCTCTCCATCATTGGACAGAGACAATTCAACAATAGACAGGCCAGGATTCCTGTCTTAGTGGATCCACACCATCACAATCACAGAGAAAGTCTCAACTGGGTATAAGATCCATTTAAAAAAAAAAAAAAAAAAGAAGAAGAAGAAGAAGAATTAAACCCTATTTTAATTTTGTGTGGATGGCAAGCATCTTACTTCAAATGAAGGATACACAACCAATACTTTAAGGGCACTATGTGCATCATTTATGACTTATGATTTCAATTCCAAAGCTACAGTAGAGTCTAGTTGTACACCTAATTTGCATGTTCAGGAATATAAAAGATTATTATATAGGAACACACAACAATCATGCAAAAAAATCAGCTGTGCAACGGGTACCATACTTGACTATACATTTCTGACCATTTTTGAGATGAGGCCCTAAATTTTTTATCTAGAAAATAGGATAGTCTAGTGAACTGAGCAATCAAGAGCTTCCATGGGGAGATACATTACATGAACTCTCCTAAGCACAATTAGCCAGGACTTGCAACAGTCCCCTTCCAGCCAATACCATAGCGTATAGAAATGAGAGCTTAGAGAGCAAGGAAGATGGGGAGAAGACTTCTTGATATGAACTGGGGTACTATCAACACATGCACTCAGATGGAGGGAGAGCTCCAAGGTCCCCTTGTTTAGACACAGCAGAGGTGACTCCACCCTAGATTCTAATTCTGCTGGGTTTCTCTGTAGCTACAACATAAAGTTGAAAATCTTCACTCACTGTGATCTTCTGTAACCTGTTTACTGTTAACAACAGCAGTTAACTAGCAATAAACGTTTTATATTTAAATTGTTGGAAGCATATACAGAAAAAGAAGATAGTATTGACTTACCTTACTTCTTCTCAATGTGGTACATGTTCAAAGCATTAAATCATTTGTAATACTGTTCAGGATGTTGACTTCCACTGTTTGCAAGAAAATCCTTAGCCTTGGTTGAGTTCTCTTGTATCTTTGACTATCTTTGGCATTAGGTCAGTTACAGACCTGATGAAAAATTAGCAGAGAATAAGGTCAGATTCCAATCCGAATACCAAGCAATCTGCCCAGTGAAATATTCTGTTGTTGCTTGACAAAGCAACTGTTGAAGGATGCTTACTGGGAACTGAAGTGTCTAATTTTCAGTCTTTTTTGTTGGATTTTTCAGTAAAAGTTTCCATCTGTCTTGTACACAATTCGAGGAGAGGTAAATGAGGGAGAGAAGACAGTCAAAAATTAAAAAAAAAAAAAAGAAAAAGAAAAGAAAGGACTTTCAAAACCTCTTTTCCACCTAGCTCTCATTAATATGAATAAAAATTCTGCTACTCACTGGCCTGCATTGTTAGGCACCCTACTGTTCTTAAAAGTATATTCCATAGACTGTAAAGGTGAATGTTTACAGTATTGTCTGCATGTATACATACAAACATCATGAAAATAAATTCACTATGTCATCTGGAGATGTTGGGGAAAAAAAAACAAAACAAAACAAAACAACCCTGGTATATTTTAACATTCAACTTGCATCATCAGGCTATGTGTTAGTTACCATGGCCTTCTCTCATGGAAGGCTCCATCACCCTTGAGAGTAAACTGAAGCAAAATTTATTGGAATAGTCAAACCCAGGGAAGACAGAAGCATGGAGCAGTAAGACAAATCCCATGGCATCAAGATCAGGTTGCAATTCTTTGTTCATGAAAGAAAAAGAAGTGGTATGAGTTATGTTTGATATCCACGCTGGCAAAGCAGATGCGGTTCTCAAAATAGTGTCAGCCTCTTGTATGTCACTCTCTTCAGCATGATGATGGGGCATCCTCAGATAACAAAGAATATAATCACCACTCACATCAACAGCTCTTCCAAGCAGCTGCTCCTCCACTGTTTCTGACCTGAGCCACATTCTAAGAGCTATAAGTTAATGGCTTTCTAAACAGGATATGATTTCCCTAGGAGGTGTTTTTTTTTTTTTTCATTTCCATTATGTCTAGATTTATTAGATGTTAGTGGTGATGCTCAATTAAGAAAGAAAAGAATTCTTTTCATAAAACTTTGCACTGGAAATACATACCACTTTTTCCTCTTAAGTAGAAGTGTTAATTGTTATTTTCAAACAATTACATGTGTTCTTTCAAAACTTTTCTGCTCTTTGCCTCCCAGCAGCCTGCATGACTTTGTGCTCCCCCTTCAGATCAAACAGTATTAATTACAGCATAGCATGATATGCCTGCCAAGATAGTGCTCTGTGTGTAACGTAAATTGGGATGTTGTTTGTCTGCGGATATTCTAAACTCTGCTATTAAGTGTAGGAGATTTTATTTCTGCTGAGCTAAAAATATACTTCACCCAAGGAACGTACAATAATGCTGTTCAGTTCCATCTGATTTTTCTAATATTATTTCTGTTTCACAGCATTAGCGAAGAGGCAGTAGGGTCTACTGTTTTTACTACAGTACAAATAGATTGAAATCAGGTTTGTTTTTAGTTTTTGTTATATCCTTCAAAAATCTGATCTTCAAATCTGCAAAAATTCTGTTGCTTGCTTGGTCTCTTAAGAATTTATTGTGAGGTTTGTTGGAGGAAGGGGATGGGAGGGAAGGTTGGTTGTTTCACACAACATGGAATATGAACTCTCAAGGGACTATGTGTCATGCCACTATCCAACTATTTGAAATTCAAACTATAAATCCTTATTACATTTCAAATCATTTCATTTCAGCCACAGCGCCCTGTGTTTGCTCATGAAAACATACACACTGGGGGGGAACCGTAAGTATACTTCTTGTCTACTAAACCAAAACCTAACATTTAAACAGTAGCCAGTACATCTTTGATTAATTTGTTAATCTGCCAAGTACAATTGTACAGAGATTTCAGAGAATTACAGGTAACTGCATGATGTAGGAAGATATCCAAGAAGGTCCCAGAGGACCAAGCCTTAGTTGTAGTATTTGTAAAAATGAAGTGTGACGTTTTAATCTCCTTATTATTAGATCTGCTCAGCAGAATGCAAATTAAAGATTTAATATTAATTCAGCTGATCTGCTTCACTGACTTGATACAAATTACTCAGAAACAGTTCTGGATGTCAACAGAAAAAGTAAATGGCTAATATTGCAAAATTAGATACATGGAAGCCTTTCCAAAAACTGGAGAAGAACCTAGATCCTAAGTCTTATTTTCACAAACAAAATAAGCACTCAGGATAAAACATGTAAGGGTATTTGGGTACTTACTATTACAGTGTAAGTACAGGTGTGTGTGTGTGTGTTTGTTTGTTTGTTTTGCCGTCCCTGAACTAGCATCAGAGTGCTTTGGAGTAGGCCCTATTAGATGAAATCACCTAAATATAATTAAAGCTTAGCATCTAAACATGTTTTGAATTTTGACTGTTAGTCACTTAAAGAAACGGCAAAGGAGAAAAGAAGGGCAAACAGTTATCCAATAATTATACCACAGATGATATTTAATGAAAATTGGGCATCTTGGTTTTGATCTCACTAAAAACTTGTAGCAAGCTCCTACTAGTATTTTTGAGCATACTGAAGCTTCTACCTCTATTTTTTAAGCAATAATTATCTGATTTCATTCAGCATAGTGTCAAAGTGGAAATATGACTGAAGTAATTTATGTCTAAAAACAGATAGAAACATATTTAAATTGCCAACCAACCATTCTTTGGTCGGTCAACATTGCAAATGGCTGTAGAATCTTTCATATTTAAGAAATTCTTAAATTATTGCAGAGAGAATGAAAATAGTAGAAAAAGAGATATTAAAATGGATTAGCTGGAAATAACTAAAATTAGATTTCTAAAGTAAAAACAGTGATAATTAGGAACTTCTCATTATTGTATTTGAGTAACTAATTGGCTTAAATCTTGTTCCCGACACATTACATCTGCAACTCCTGTACCTTATTTAATCAGTTCTGGAATATCATCATAGCTCTTGCCTTTCTGGAATTATGATAAGCATGACAGAAAATGTTATTGCCGTTTAATTTTTGCACAAATTGTTCTGATTCCTGCTAGGTAAATTACCAAAGGAAATTGGTTAAATTACCGGTCCGTTCTATTTTGTTAATATGATTAAAAGTAGTTGGATGAAATCTGAAGTAAAAATATCAGACTTGCCAGATTTGGGGAGATAACTGCCAGTTATGAGAACTTGAGTTACAATCATTTTTTCCTTCAAAGTGTCTTTTGTTTCTCCAAACCAGCAATGTGAAAAATAAGTATGTTTATTCAAAAGGATCATCATTACACTGAGCCTAGCACAAGTCTGTATATAGAAGTTTCAAATGGGACTTTCAGGAGCAAGAATTTGTTACTTAAATAGAAGTCCCATTTAAGCCAGTGGAAACTGCCTGAATGATACAGAGCTGATTAAAATCTTCTGTACTAACATATTTGGTCAAAAATCAAAGGTTTTTTATTTTATTTTTAGTAGGGATAGAGAAAAGTAATGTTGTTAAGTTTTAAAGTCAGTGACCTGTTGTTAAGGAGGGGAAAAACGGACATCATGATGATGATGATTTGTTTCAGTATTTTGAAATGACAATTATTTCCTTCCACAGAAGCAAATGTGCCCTGCTCCTTTTCATGCAAACAGTCTTAGCTGGGGCAGAGACACTTAGAAGCTAACTGGCACATTCTGCCTCTGCAGAGCTCATGGGCTTTTGCAGAGAACTATGCTCTCTCCTCCTCCATGGGCTGTTTGCCAAGCACACTCAACTCCCAATATTAAGAGCTTACTGCCATTCTTTCATTTCCAAGAAACGCAACTAAAATCTGACACAAAAGATAACAATTTTGGTAGTCTCATACCTCTTTCCATTTATTCACCTCACATCCCTTCTTCAGTCTTTGGCAGAGGTGGGGCGAGGGGAAGACAATTTGGTGAATACTGTTTGAGTTTCCACCCTTATGTCACCGGACTGAAGCCTCTCACTCAGGGTTTCGTTTTGGATTTTGTTTTGTTTTGGGGGAGGGTGATAAGCACTAAACCAGTTCTGCTCGCTAACCTTGTTCTCTACTCCTGTTAGCAGATGGAGTATCAGCTATTTCACCCTCTCCCCCCTGCAGATACTCATTCTTTATTTTAGCATCCCTCTTCTGAAGAGACTTTCTGCACATACTGTTTTATATGCTTTTTCTCTAACCACTTCCCCCATTTTAATCTTTTTTATTACTTGTCCAGCTTTGAGCCTGCTGTGACAGTCAGGCACACTCACGGCAGATGCAGAGCCCTTTATATCCAAGAGAAAGTCATAACAGTAAACTCATAAACTAACTTCCTTACTTGTGGTTTTTGATTGTGAGGAGGTACTTGGGACCAGTATCTTATGTCTTCCACTTGCTCAGTTCATCTCTTTTCCCTTCCTCCATCCCAGAGGGATAGGGGATTCTGGGATTTTCTTCCCAGAAATTTTTCTCCCTTTCACTCTGTTTTAACTACCCCGAACAACGCCTCTTCCTTTTGGACAGAAACTGTTTGGAAGATCATCTGTTTCGATGCTGTAGGTAGAGGGCTCACATTTTGTCCTTTTCCCGGAGTAGAATAAATACAGAAAAACCATGGGATGGCAAAGGATGTCCTGCCAGTGAGGGGGCAGTTCTACGGAAGCCTGCCTGAGGAGAGGAATAACCTTTAAAGAAAGATGCTCCTTCCCAGCAGCCAGGCGGAGGACAGTTCCCTCAGTCAGATTTGAGTTAGGGTTCTCCACACTTCAAGCAGTTTCTGGCCACTTGGTACAGTGTAAAAGGAAAGCTTAAGAAAAACCACCCCTTATCTGTGGTTGCAGCTGTAGGTTTTCAAGTAGCAATTACTCTCCACCTTTGCCAGGGAGGTAGGCACCTCTTTTATATGCAGTGCTCTTAAATGCCCCATCTCTCCTCAGCAGTCCTTACTGAGGAGCCCAGGGAGCTTCCTGTCACAGTGTTAGCCTGTGTGAGCCCCTCTCCTCTGCACTCTTCTCCATGCATTGGGGACTCTATAGGCACCTGGCTTATACTGTGTGTCACTTTGCTGGGCCCTGTGACAGAGCACCTGGACTGCAGGCTCAGCTTTCTGACTCTTAAAGGCAAAGTCATAATGTTAGATGTTGATGATGAGGATTAAGGGGCTAGCCCATTTGCAGCCTCCCATCTAAAAGTCCTTGCATTGCCTGTGACTCAACTATAAAAATAATGCTTTTTTTTTCCCCAAAATATTACCATTCTATGTATGAACCAGTTGTGGAGCAGTCAGGTTTGCCTCGAGTCCCCAGCCTTTCCTGTCCAAGTTACCTTTCAGACAAAGCAGGACACTTGCTAAAGAACAGACCTAGCCCTGAAGTCTTCCACCAGGCGGAAAAAAAAAAAAAAAAAAACCCTTTTCCGCTGTATTTGCGAGGAGTGTTTCTTATTACTTAATGTCTGAACCAGCTCGTCTGCTTCAGCAGAGATACAAAGAACTCTTACTTTTTTGTAAAATGCTTCATTTGTCCTATTTAAGGTTTCAGGCTCTATATAACTATACTCCTAGGAATGAAGATGAATTGGAGCTCAGAGAGGGAGATGTCATTGATGTGATGGAAAAATGTGATGATGGATGGTTTGTGGGTATGTTTTAGTTTCATTGCTTTTTCATATTTGTTTTATTCATGACCGTTGCTACTCTCAGTTTGCTTGATATCTGATAACTTAATTAAGTTTTGGTATTCAATGTAATAAACCTGAACCTGTAATAAACCTGAACCTGGCTTTATCAGGAGAAATCTCAGCCAAAATCCACTGAAAGTAGTGGGTACTTTGAATCGATTGCCACAAATTGATATACACCTCCAGTGTGTAATAAAGGACTTTTGTCGTTCTCATGGGACACAAAATGAATTATGTATTATTACCTCCCTCTTCATTAATACCTACTGATGTAAAACTTATTCACATGACTACCTCTACAGATTTGACTACTTCTGAGAACCAAGTATTACTGAACAAATACAGGTTTCATAAATAGACCTAAAAAAAGAGTAGATCATTGCATAAACTTTCATGCACACTGTGGCTAGCTTTATCATACTAGTCCTCAGCCCTTCAAAAATCCAAGTTATTTAATTACAAGTGATAATGTTTAAATTAAGTTATTTTCATGTACCAAAATGAAATTTCAGCACATTAAAACTTATATTAAATCTAATCAGGCTGAACAACTTAATCAGCTATGTCTCTTCTGTTTGTTTTTCACTTCCTGCAGTTGTAACTTGTCAAGATTCACAACTCTCAAATGAAATTCAGAATAACTGAGTTGTATAGTAAAGAACAGTAAATATTTCTACCATTTATGAAATATTAAAAAAAAAAAGAAAAAGGAAAAGGAAAAGGCCACACTTGCATAGTGATTTCTTGTTGTTTCCCATCTTTCATCTATTGCTTCTAATTTCAGGAACCTCAAGAAGAACCAAATTCTTTGGTACTTTCCCTGGAAACTATGTCAAGAGGCTGTGAATTTTTTTTCCTACTTATTTATGCTGCATCTCTGCAACACATCTGCATAAAGCTGCTAGAAAACATGCTACACAGGCCTTGTGTTTTCTTGCTTGCAGTCTCGAATAGAGGCCATCTAGTTCATCCTCATCCCATCCCATCGCCAAACCAGCAGTATTACAGCAACGACTACAGTGTGAATAGCTAAACTTCTCTGAAACAAGAGGAATCATTTCAACATTTAAGTACTCCCCGTTTTAAACATTTTTTCCATATGAGACACAAGAATAGGAAAAGCCTGATGACAGGTACACAGGTGACTTGACATGGGGGTTGAGGTTCCTGTTTTGGGCATTAGTGGTACTATCAGGAAGTGCTATGGAGAGAAATAAAATAAAAAAATAAAAAAAAAAAATTTCAACATGCACGCATTACAGAGGGGAAGTTGCTGTTTACTACTTTAAAAAAAAAAAAAGTTGTTTGAGTTTTCAAGTTCTTTTTAGCTTGGCAGCATATGTTGCTTTCACTTTGCTGTATCACAGGTTTGCCTATTGTACTGGTTTACAATGTATGAAAAATTCTAATACAGATTTTTTGCCTGCACTTGTATGTTGTTACATATGCACTGTAATTGTAAAATCTGGAGCAAGCATAGTGAATAAACAGGGGAACTTAGAAGTGTTCTGAACAGGTGCAGTGGTACTGGCTAAACCATTTTCCTTTTTTCCCCCAAAAAGCTATCATGTTTTTTGTTAAAAGGTAAGAAAGTGCAAGAGGCATGAAACTTTGGTAAGCAGGATTTAATGAAAATACAATGATATAAGCACAGACAATAAAAACCTGCTACTGATGTTGGAAGTTAAATGGTTGTAATCAAAATGTTGTAATAGCCAGCAACATGAAATGTGAGAGTTTAGTGTTTTTACGTATCACATGAATTGTAAGCAGAAAGTAAACAGTGTTAGTGCAAAGTTTTCTTTCTAACATAGCCACCTGAAAAATATTCACAAGTATCATGTACTGATTTTATTTCACTACATATATACGTTAACAAAACCTGAGTTACACATTCTTTTTAGAAATTTACTACAGGAGAAAAAAAAGTCACAAATATTGAAACTGATACATTTTAGGGTTTTTTTTTCCTGAATGAAACAAGTATTTGAAAAAAACAACAAAGGTAAGCATAAATAATATATGAAATTAAGGCACAGGATGATAATGACTATGGCTTTATACAAAAAAATTCAGATTTGGTTTCTTCAGCACCTTAGAGATGGCAGAAGCTTTTACTGTATTTCTCATGGGTAAAGGATTGAAATTATCAAAATGTATTTAATGTCTGTCTGTAGCATTTTGTACATACGTTTGCTTTTTTTTTTGTACAGAGCCATTTTGTTGTTGATTAAAAAAAGTTATTTGATCTTTGCCCTTTCACATACAGAATATTTCAATGCATTTTTCTTTATTTGCCCCACTTACCATAAGAACACCTGGATAGTGCAATTCTGTAAAATAGCATTTTATGCAGAATTTTATTAATTAAAATATGGTTTAGCAGCCAAATCTAAATGTACATATGTCTTTATTACTCAGAAATGTCATTAAGACAAAGGTAAAGAAACATCTTTGTGCAGCATACCTTTATTATTGCAGATTTCATGGCAAAAGCTTTATATTTCAAAGGCTTTCAATTTTAAATTAGATCTGCATGCAGCTTTGCTGTGAGATTAAGACCTATCTCTGATGCCATTTATGACTGAAGACTTAAATATCTGTTGCCTGTGATATTTAAAAAGTACTGTTTCTACTCTGTATCTGATTTTAAAAAAAAATATATACAAGTTTTTCATACCTGGCTTTCAGGTAACTGACTTCGAATTCTTACAAGCAAAAGGTCTCTGTGTTTTTTTCTTTTTCCTTGAATAGACTTCTAATAAATTTTGCTTGGAGTACACAACTGTCTCCCCCATCATTTCTCAAAATATATATAATTAATTGAAGTGTTTGATACTAGTCAGCTTAAATGCTGAGCAAGTTTTTCCTTGTATGGAGTTGTTTTTTTTGCCACTAAACATACTCGTTATATCTATATATACGGGCAACTAGCATTACCCTTGCTCAACAGCCAGGTAGAGCTCTCAACTGGTCTACTTCAATATCATCCTGAAAAAATTTGCATCCAAAAGCAACATTCTGGACTTCCTCCACTGATCATACTAATACAAGATGATTTTTTTCTGTTGCCAGAGCTACCCTTCATTCCAGAAGCACAAAGAGAAAATATACAACCATGAAACCTGTCAAAAGTTCCTACACCCTAATCCTTTCCTCTGTAAAGTGAGGTGACAGCATAGAAATAAGTTTTTTTTTTTTTATTTAAATAAATACACAGATTTGTGGGGATCATCTTACTTTTAGGACTAAACAGCAAGGTTAACAACTTGATGTTAAAATAAACAAAAACCCCGCAACAGCAAGAAACAAGCCCTGCTCCCAGTAAAAGTTTTTACTGTCTCATACGCTCTTTAGTTCCCTGCTCCTCCAAGTCACATGGGCCTCTATTGCCAGGCTGTTTCCTCCCAAACACTGCATGGGCTGTACTTTTTACCACTGAAGAATTCCAGCAAGTTGCATTTTATCATGAATCATCTATTCCTTTGAGGCTGATCAACACTTGGTTTTATCTTTACAATAGCTGTGCTGAAAAACAGAAAACAACGGATGCTCCTAAATAAATGCAGCTCTATGAAGTGTAACCTTTGTGTAGACAAAGTTAACATTAGCAACAGGGACTTCTGTTAGGACTGGAGCAAATGAACACCTTTGGCAGTATTAACATGTCTCTACTGGGAGTGCTTTCAATCTGGACATGGCCCTACTTAGTCAGTACTAGTCTCTTTCAGGTAAATGTGCCCCTCCCATGCAAAGTCACCAGCCGCATCTCTCCTTACAGCTGTATAACCTAGGTGAAAGGAACACTGGCTGAACCACTCAGCTGTCGTGTGGTTTGTCCTTGCTGCTGTACACTCCAGTGCGCCAAACGTAGTTGGGACATCACTGAAGTGCTGCTTTGTGCCATACACCTCTAAGAACTGTAAGAGTAGAAATTACTGTGCTTTATAATAGAGTCGTCGTCTGTAAAAGCTAGCCTAATACTAATAAAGGCAGGAAGCACAACTGCTCAGTGTAGTCTCACTAAGTCTTATGGCCTACAGAAAAGAAGTGATGCATGAGCTACATTTCAATGTAATGATATATTCTGACCTGAGCAAAGGGTCACCGCAGCAGTTTTAACATTCTGTTGCCAGCACAGAAGCAAAGCATGTTGTCATGCTATTCTGTAATGCCTGGTATTTACCAGTTGCTTTGAAATGCTGATGTATAGAAGCATGACAAGAACACAAGGTGCTTCCTGTACATTTGAAAAACCAATGCACAAGCTAATGTGAAGCAGAAATTACGAAGTAAGTAGTTCTAGAAGAACCTTAGGTCATTGCTAAGTATATTCTCTGACAACGTTTATAGTTAGTTACATGGTGAAACCCTGGCCTTGCTCCAGGTAACATCAAGCCCTGTTGAATTCAGCAGGGCAAGAATTGTCCTCAAGGATTGTATTTGTAATAGTGTTTCTATTAGTGTTTGTATGTTAGTTTGAAAAGGAAATTACGCAAACAAGAGAAGCATTGAAGCAACTGAATGTCTAGTTTGCAATGTGCAGGCAGAGACCAGAAACAGTTTCTTTAACTGTTAGGACCATGCAGCACAGAAGATAGTCCCCTACTCTAGTATCTAATTTGCAAGTTAACTTAAAGTCAAATTATATGTGCCTCCACAGTTGCAAGAGCATATTGAAAGAGCCAAGACATCAGGTTTTTGTTTTTTTGTTTTTTTTAAAAAAAAGATGTTAATACAGCACAATCCCTTGCTACCTCCAGTACCTAGCAATCAGACCACAAGCTCAATTCACCCATTTACAGAGCAGGGGAGCTGCCAGACCAAAATGTAGAAATTGATGCATCAAACATACACGGTAAGCAGGGGAAATCTTTAAGATGAGGGCTTTTTTCTACAACGCTACAAGTAGTCAGCATCATTCCACTTATTTGACTGGAGGGAAAAATTGCTGTTTGTTTGATTTTTATCCTCCCCCGTGTTGTCCAGAAAGTTGTTTTTAAATCGTAGCTAAAATTGCCTCACGTTATCTGTTATGCTCATCAATATACTGGAATCACGCTCATTAGCAAATTACAAATATTTTTCTATATCTCCACGGAGAAGATTGTGGAAAGCCCCTGAAAGGCAAACAAAAGAATGAATGAATTCTTGCTTGCACTATCCTGAGTCAGATACTATTTAGGCCAAAGAAAGTGATGCTCATGACATATAGGCTCTCGTATTCATTTATTTTGTGTTACCTCCAAAACAAAAATAATAAAAGTTTCTAAGGTACTATGTAGTGATGAAAACTGGGAAGAGCCTAAGTAATCCTGCAGGTACAATTTTTGGTCTAATCCTGGTTGGTAGTTATACTATACAGTTTAATTCTTCAGCAGCTAGCTCCGCATCCAAAACTCCCGGCTCCTATCTCATTTGCATCTATATGAATCCGATATATAAAGCATTACAGAATTACGCCGTCTAGTATTATATTTAACTTCTGTTTATTCAAGAGTCAGAGATGGAGCTTAATTTGCATGTGATAACAGATTATTTACTATTACCAGAAAGTAGAAGGCATTCTTGCTATAATAGCCTTAATGTCTATAACAAATATCCCATTGCAATTTTCTGAGCGGCCTTTAAGCGTCACATCTAATTAGAGAGCAAGTGCATAGAGGTTTCCACTCGAACAGAATGACATTACATCACAACTGACGCATAAAGCAGGGGGAAAAAAAAAATGTTGACTGACAACCAGAAACGCGTTGCTAGGTTTATCTTTGGTACAGATACACAGATCTCAACAATTTATGTTTCTCACTGCCCACATAATTTGAAGCCACCATTTCATCACCCATATACAATGCATAACAAAGTAATCCTCCTACATTTCCCATCCATCAGAGAAGACAGTAAAAATCACCTCAATAAATATCCCAAGAATAATTTAGTTATTTCTATTTTCACCAGTGAAGAATTACCAGGTACTTACATACATGGACTCCTGATATCCTCCTTAACCCCACCAAGAACAGGAGGATAAAGGATATGATAGATTGACAGACTTCTCTGTTGCAAGCCACTGTTTTCCTTCACAAGAGAGAGTCCTGTATTCACCTAGGTCCACTTTAGGTGACTAGCTCTAACTGCAACTGATTTTAATGGTAGCTTGCTATTTAAATACCTTGAAGGATCTGGACCCTGGACACTGTCTTAAAATACCTTCATTTCATTTTAATGTATTACAATGCTTTTTAGAAGTGACACTGAAGAACCAAAGAAACAAACTGTTCTAAGTAAAAAAAAGAATTACCAAACCTACAGTCATTTGCATCAAAATTTTTCCCTGACACAGTTAAACATTCAGCTGAAAAGAGCATCGCAGATGGAAAACACTGCGGAAACAGAACATGTCGTTCTAAGTGGGTCATCACACTGCGCCCATCGCTGTGATTTGCTAGATAAACCCAGAGCATGCCATGACTCTACTCGTGCTTCCCCTGCTGCAGGGCAGTGGTCTAGGGTTCACACTCTGAACTGTAATGTGAAACATGTACAAATACTGGCTGGCTCCAGACCTGCTAAAGGCTTTTCTTACACCACCGCTGATTCATCTGTTATACATAGGTACTTTTTATATGTAGCTTTGGAAGTATTTGAACAGGTGAGAATCAGTCCCTCCCTCCTTAGATCATACAAGAGAATAAATTGACGTGGCCAACGTCTGAGGTAGCAGAGAGCAGTATTTATATGCCACCTTTTATCCAAACAGCTCTATGAACTATTTATAGCCTCTCCTCATCTGCTACCGCAGCCAACTGTGAGATGCAAGGCACAAAGCAACGCTACGCACAGTTTGAAGCGGCCAGTATGAAAGTCATATCCCACCAAAAGCACAGGGAAATATCTAGGACACAAAAAAAAAAAAGCTGCTAGTCACCAATCCATACCTATATACCTATGTTCTGAAGCAAGCAGATTACTAGGGGGGTGGCAAGATTTCTGCAGCTACTACTTTGGTCATTGGTTCTTTAGAGCTCCCCATGACCTGAGAAAAAAATTGGTCCACACTTATGTCAGCACCAGATAATCATGTCTGACTTGGTTTTAACTTAGAAAAGATCTGGTTTTTAAAGCTGTTATTGGGAAAAAAAAAAGTGGCTTTTCAGCAGCAGACATCATTTTGGTACCTGGTAGCACCCTGAAACTACTGCTTACTACCCAAGCCCTCTTTGTCTTTTGCAACCCACTCTTCCTTTGTTTACCTATTTTATCACATGGTAATAAACTGTGCACAGCAGGGATCAACCTCCTGCTGCCTCCACTTTTAAGAGGATCTCCCTACTTTAAGGTTTTAGCCATTGATTAAACTAAATTGTGTCACTTACAGACGTATTTTCACATGCATATCCTGTACCTCAGATAACCCATGTTTCTCAAACATCTGCCCCTTTAAAGTCTTCCAAAAACTCCACACAAAAATCAGAGGTGGAAGCAAGGTGATTCCTGGGGGAGAAAGAACAGGCCATACTGGAAGTCAGAGGCAGGCAAGACCAGGGAGAGCTGTTTTCAGGCCCTGGAAACAGGATATCTGGCCTACTTAATGGAGTCTTGTGAACCACCTTCTTCCTTCACTACACATGCCTTGTACTTCTTCCACTAATGACAACTCCCCAAGAAAGCCTTAGAAAGGCAACTGTTAAATCAGAGCAGGCCAGGATGAGAAAAGGAGGAGCAAGATCAACAGGGGAAGATTTGAACTTCTACAGCACGAGATGTGGCTGCATACAGAAGTCAAGCCATTTCTTAAATTCTCCAAGCTCCATGGACTCTTACCGCCAGTGCTCAAGGTAGCCTTAGCTACTTTTTCCCTCCTATTCTATCACTCTGCCTCTTCCTGTCACCTCTAGAGACAAGAGGATTATGGAGGGAAAGGCAGCAAGCTACGGAAGCATGAGAGAGAAAGTAGCAGCGCTGGGCCAAATTTACCTCTGTATTACCTGCATATACTTCATACTGACCCTGTGAATCACGGTGCCTTTCTTTACTGTTGTTTCAATGACAGTGGTTTTACTAGTGAGAAGCACTGTAATTCTACGGTAGTCTGTTCAAGGTCTTACAGTCTGGCTCTTGCACCACATTATCCAGGCAGCTATTTAAAGCATACCTGCGACATCTTGGTCATCATTTTCATTACTGAAATTCCAGAAGCTTCCAAAGACACAATGTGTCTACTGCATCACGCCATATATGCTGAATAACAGCTCCCACAGCACATGATCAGTACCGGTTAGAAGGTCCCGACTTTAAACATCTTGACATTCTCTCATGTGAAGAGACTCTGGCAAGTTATTTTTAAGCTCTGAAAAGCCTAATACTTATTGTAATTGCTAAAACGCTATTGACAAGCTAGAGAAAAGCCCAGTCTTCAGGGAGACACTGGGGATTTCTGGGTGTTTTTTTGATATTAGGTTTTGTCATTTGTTTGTTGTTGTTTTTTTTTGGCAAGGATCGTAAGCAAGACAGTTTCCAAATCTTTC